ACTAATGAATGGATAAGCAAAAGTGGTATATCCATATAATGGAATATTATTTAGCCATAAAAAGGGATGAATTACTGATACCTGCTACCAGATGGATAAATTTTGAAGATATGCTTAGCGAAAGAAGCCAGACACAACAGGCCACATATTGAATGTTTCTATATATGTGAAATATCCAGAACGGGCAAATTCATAGAGACAAAGCAGATGACTGGTTGCCAGAGACTGGAGGAGGGGAGAATGAGAATGCCTGCTTAATGGGTATGGGGTTTCTTTTGGGGTAATGAAAATGTTCTATAAATAGATAGTAATGATGGTTGCACAACACAGAGACTGCACTAAAAGCCACTGAATTGTACACGTTAAAATGGTAAATTTTATATCATTTGAATTTACCTCAATAAAAAATATTAAACCAACAAAGGAGATTTATGATGGATTCATAATTAAATATTGTTAAAGAAGGCATAAAAAGAGGAAGAGGGGCACAAACAACGGATAGGATAAATAGAAAATAAATAGCAAAACGATAGGCTTAAGCCTAACTATATCAATAATCGTACTAAATGTGAATGCTATTGTCAATGTAAGAAACGTTTAAACCAGTTGAAAATTTTTATAACAGTTTATTTGAGCCATACTGACAAACTATGCCGGGGAGCAAGATCTCAAATGCTCTGCCAAAACTAGGCAAAGAGAGTATAACAAAATAAAAACTACTGAGATACCACTTCCCAAGGGAAAAGGAATTATATGTTCATGCAAAAACTTGTATGTGCATATGTGTTAGGAAAAAAAGGTCACAGATCAATATCTCAGCCATATTAATATCAGACAAGAAGATTCATTTAAGACTCTAGAAAAAGAAGAGCCAATGAAATCTGAAGTAAGCAGAAGAAAGAAAATAAAGATCAAAGTGGATATCAGTGAAATAGAAAACAGTAATAGAGAAAAATCAGTGAAACCAAAAGACGATTCTTTAACAAAAATCAATAAAATTGATAAACCTCTAGCCAGACCGATAAGGACAAAAAAAAATAAAAAAGACACAACTACCAGTCTTGGCATAAGAGAGGTGACTACTACAGATTCCACAGATATTGAAAGGGAATATTATGAACAACTTCATGCCAACAAATTCAACAACTTACATGAAATGGACAAATTCCTTAAAAGACCCAAAATACCAACGCTCACTCAAGAAGAAATAGCTACGCTGAATAGTTCTATATCTATTAAAGAAACTGGAATTGTAGTTGAAAATCTTCCCACACACAAAAAACAAAACTTCAGGCCCATGTGCCTTCACTGAGGAATTCCACCAAATATTTAAAGAAGAAATAATATCAATTCCACACAAATTCTTCCCCCAAAATTGAAGAGGAGAATACTCAACGAATTCTTTGAGACCAGCATACCCTGATACCAAAATCAGGCAAAGACAGTACAATGAAAGAAAAACTACCCAAGAAAAAAGGAATTATATGTTAATGCAAAAACTTGTACATGAATATTCATGGCAGTTTTATTCATAATAGCTAAAAACTCAAAACAATTATCTATCGACAGGTGAATGGATAAATTACAGTATGTCCATCCCATTGAATACTACTCAACAAATAAAAGAAACTGTTGATACATGCAACAATGCTATGAGAGTCTCAAAATAATTATGCTGAGTGAAAGAAGTCATATTAAAAAATTGTGTACCTGTATGGTTCCATATATCTAAAACTCAAGAAAATGTAAATTAAATCTCTAGAGACAGAAAGCAGATCAATGGTTGCTTGGGGATGGGGATGGGGTGAGTGGAGGGAAGCCTTCGCAAGGGGCAAGAGGACACTTTTGGATGTGACCTACGTTCGCTGTCTTGATTGTGGTGGTGGTTTCATGAATGTGTACGCAAGTCAAAATGTGTCATATCACACACTTTAAATTTGCAGCACTTGGTATGTCCACTTTAACATATTTCAATACACAGGAGAGCACAGGTGTCTTTTCTACATGTTTCCTTTCGATGCTCTCAACATCTTGGCAAGGCAGGTTTAGGATTGAGGAGGCTGAGGTCCCCAGAGGTGAAGGCACCTGTAGCTGTCCCAAGCAGACTGCCACAAGTGGGCGTGACCCTTGCACCCCTGAGTACAAGGCTGGGCTTTGTTCGGTCTGACAGATGCTTCCAAACCCACTCCTAATTAGTCCCTTTCAATCCTGGAAGGGAACGGAGCCCGGATCCTCACTGCTCCCCTCCCCCAACTTTGCACATGAGGAAACTGAGGCCCAGGGAGGTCCTGACTGGTCTTATTCAAGGGGCAGTGTAACTGGAGGTCCACTCCCCACCACAGGATGCCACGTGCCTCGAGTGGCCTCTTAGGAAGGGGGTTGCTCAGGAGTCCTGGTGAATCCTGGGGCCCCAGGAGGGCTGTGGGAAAGGCAGCATCACACAGGGTTAGTTAACATTTCAGACGACAGCCAAGCAGCCTGGCTCACATCCCAGCTCCTCGACCTTAGACAAGTCACTTAACTTCTCCTCGTCTCAGTTCACTCACCTACAAAATGGAGGTAGTAATAGCAGCCATCTCCTTCAAGTGCAAAGAGAATTAAAGAGACGTAAAGCTACCGGACAGTACCTGGCCCAGAGAAAGGCTACAGAAGTGTTTGCTAAGTAAATAAATGGCTTCGGGCCTGCTTAGTCCGCAAGGTTTGGGCTTCTGCCATTCCTACCCAGAGAGGCCTTGGGTGGAGGCCCCGCTGACGCCGATGAGCGCCTGCCCTGTGCTCTCCACACGACAGGCACTTTCCAAACCTTATGTCATCCTCACCCCAGCAGGATGAGGGGAGGTTTGGTGTACCTAGTTCCTAAGATGAGAGAACAGGCCTTTCAAGGACCACACCGCCAGCCAGCGACGGGGCCTGTCTGCCTTCAAGACTGGGAGCAGGTGAGGACCGACCTGAGTGAGATCTACCTGCTGCCTCCTCCATCTGGAACTTGGGCCGGAGCCAGCCTGATGGACCTTCGCTTCCTAGAGTGTCCCTGCCTGTGGCGGAGCCTCGCTGGTGGTCGTGAGGCCCCCATGTGAGGGCCCCGTGAAGGGGCTGCAGACACCTGCATGGCAACAAGGCCAACCCTCTTCTCCTGAGCTGTTTCATGCTCCAACTCGGCTGTTGCACCAAGCGCCTCCGTCCAAGAGGCGGGGAGATTGAGACCAGCTGCTGCCGCCTGGATTCTCCCAGAGCTCGCCTGGCGACACACGGCTCAGGTCCTCACACCATCCTGTAAGACTCTCGCTGAGCAGTGACGTTCAAGGTTTGTGGGCTGGATGTGGGCCAGTGGTGGGCAGGAAGCAAGGAGGGCTGGAGGGCTGGAGGGCTGGAGGGCTGGTGGTCTGGGGAGAGCTTGGCATTTCTCCAGCAAGGAGTCACAGGAGAGCATGGCTGCCTGCACGTGACGACAGGCTTATCAGCCTGGCCGGCCCAAGGACAGTTTCCTTATTCTTCTGCTTTCCACTGGCCCCTATCTCTTCTCCCCCTGCTTTGCCTCACTCAGGGGAGTTTCAGCTCCCTGTTTCAGGGTAGGGGCACAGGGAGATGCTTCTGTAGCTCCCCAGCCACTGGGCAAGGAGGCCTGGGAGGAGCCAGGACCCTAGGGAGAAAGGAGAGACCCAAGGCCGTTGAGAGGGGTGGGCCTGGCAAGGCCCCACAGCAAGTCAGGAGCAGAGCTGGGCTGACAGGATGCTCTTCGTACCCTTCTTACCACCTCTGGATCAGGGTTCCGGCGAAAGTGCTAGACAGTGGGGCCTGACTTCAGGGCAGACAGGTGGCATAGAAGGGGCAGCTCCTTTTCCTCACTGCTCCCTGCCTGGTCCTGGGACCAGCACCATCCATCTTCACTTCTCTTGGCCATCTCCCTCTGGCCCAAGAGGCTGCTGTGCATCCAGCTGGCCTGGGGACGTGCTGTCGACTCACGGTCCTCTGAGGCCAGAACTGTGGGGGAAGGTCGGGGCTGGTGCGCTGGGGTACATAGGCCCAGGAGGACCCCCGCCTTCTCCTTGGCCCGTGGGGCTAACCTCTGCCACCAGGTCTCTCTTCATCTTCAGGATCCCATTGCCCCCGGACCTGAACTTGTGCCCCACTCTGGGCCTCATTTTCCCTCTGGACATCTCTAAATTCCTTTTTTGCCCTACCCAGCACCAGTTGGGCTGAACTGCAGCTCTCCACGCGGGGCTGTGAGGGTGACCATGGCATTAGGCTTCTGGTGGGGAGCCTGCCCTGACGGTGCTGGGATGGAAGGGAGATAGTCCTCTGCTAGGAGCAGGCTACATTTGGGGCAGCTCTAGAGCTGCTTGGCCCCAGAGTCTCCTGGTCTCCTGCTGCTGACTTCACCCAGCTCTACCCACTGCATGCTCTTTCTTGGGGAACCCACGAGGCGGCGGGGTGGGGGGAGGTGAGGGCGGACTGTTCAGGTGGGGCCCCCAGGGCCTAGAAAGCACACACGAGCTCTCCATTTCTGATCTGATGTGTCTTCTAACCCCGCAGAGTTGCCCACTCACCAAGTGCGGGGGCCCTAGCGGGGTGGGTACTAGAGCTGGTGGGCGGTACTGTGCCTTCCTCCTGTCGGCGGTCTTGTCCCCCGTCCAAGAGGCCCTGGTGGGGGGAGGTCAGCAGCCTGGGCTCAGCCCTGAGCTTGCTGTGGGCTCTGTTCTGAGCTTTGTCCCTGTCTTGGCTCCAAATCCACTCCTCACCAGCCCTGACCAAGCCTTGCCCAGATGTGAGGGCCAGGTTCTTGGAGGCCTCCTCTAACTCCCCAGCCCAAAGATGGACCTCACCCCCACACCTTGGTCTCTGTGAGGGCCCTGCCCGGGGAGCGCCTGGAGGGAGGTCAGTGTGAGCTTGGTCCTTTCTTTTCGGACAGGCAGGGTCCCTGAGTCCTTGGGCCCCTCTTCTCCCCACCCCAGCAGCAGGGCTGCACTCAATGTCCGTGATGCAGAAAGGCTGAGGCAGAGTGGGTATCACCCTTTATTGTGGGGTCTGCACAGTGGGTACCAGGCCCCTCCTGCTGAGGGGAGGCTGGAACCTCAGCCTGGGCTGACCATCCGGCCTCCGATTAACTCACTTTCCTTCCATCCTCTTAATCTCAGGTTGAGCATATGCACTGGGTCTCTGGGGGCCTGGGGGACCCCCGGGGCCTCCCTCACCTCCATCCCATGTGCTTAGGAGCACTGTTAATCAAATAGCATGGGCCAGGGTGGGCGACGGGTCACCTGGTGCAGCAGGCCTGGGGCTCGGACCCTGGCCCGGCAGCTGCGGAGCCCCAGGTAGAGGCAGCAGTGGCGGCCCCGGCCACGCTGCCCTCAGGCTCAAAGTCCAGACCCTCATAGATGGTGGGGAGCGAGGTGCGCTGGCTCAGCCGCCGGCGCAGGCCGACCAGCAAGGGCTGGGGCAGGGAGGCCACATCCACATTGTTGCCCAGGTCTACCCAGGCCAGCGCGGGGAACTTGGTGGTGTCCTTGATGGCCTCGGTGAGCTCACGGGCGGCAGCTCGTGTCAGCCGGTTGCCATTGAGCAGGAGCTGGGAGAGGCGGGGCAGCGTCCAGAGGCTGGGCAGCAGCAGGCGCAGCAGCTCATCGCTCAGCCCTGTGAAGCTCAGGTCCAGCACCGTGAGCCCGGCGCCCTGGCTGGCTAGGTAGCGAGTTATGTGCTGCACATCCCGCGTTGACAGTGAGATTCCTGAAAGGTTCACGGTCTCCCCTGCCATCGGAGTCTCCTGGAGGCTGTTCTTAAAGCTGTGGAAAGTTTGCAGGCAGGGGTGGGCTAAGCAAGGCCTGTGGCCCAGGCCGGCCCCTCTGGCCACGTACAATGACCTGTCAGGGCAGTACAGGAAGGTGGGGAGGTCCGCACCTACAGTTGGGACAAGCTGGGTTTAAACTGCTGCTTCCTAAGTGGGAGGCCATGGGCAATGCTCGGAACTTCTTTGAGCCTCGATTTCCCCTTTGGTGAAAGGGGACCTGGCTGTTGTGAGTATTAAATACACACCTGACAAGGCTCCACGAGCTATTATTATAAAAACCTACTGCGTGCCTGCATCGCCACACGCATCTCACTTATGGCTATGCCAACCCGGTGGGGTAGAAATGATTACTGCATTCTGCAGAGGATCTAATGGATGCTCCGAGAGGTGACATGAGTCTCCCACGGTGTACCCAGGTCTACTAAGTGGGGAACCAGGCCTCCAAATCGAGTGCTCCAACTCCTGAGCCCACATGTTTTTTCCTGTGCCTCCTCCAAGGTCAACTCTTTGGGAGTAAAGATAGATGTTCCTATGAGGGTGACAAGGTTATCAACCTGGTCCCCCAGGTCTTGGGGGCTAGAAAGTGGACAGGCCCAGGGTAGTGAGAGGGGAGGTGTTGGGGGTCATAGGGGTAGGCTCCCTATGTTCTAAGCTGGAAAGTTTAGAGACTGAGAATGGTCCTCAGCTGCCCCCCAGGACCCCACTTTAAGCCTCTCCTGTCATTTGAACACGGCCCACTAGGCAGATAGGCCGGACTGGGGGCTGAGAGCAGTGAGACCACCTCCAGGGCCCTCACCTGCCATGGCAAGGAGCAACCCTGTGGGCTCGCAGCTCAGGGTGGGCTACCAGGCCCGAGGGCAGGGGAGAACACCGGGTCTGTGGTTCTGGGCCCCAGGGCCTAGATGCCTGTGGCCGGTTTCTGGGTAGAGTCTGTGGCCATGAGGCTGTGAGGAAGTGACTGGGAGGAGGCCCCACAGCAGAGTGAGCTACTGGGCCAGCTGTGGAGGCCCGGGCTTTAGGCATCCTGGCACAGAATTCCCAAAGGGATACAGGAAAATCAAGGTGGGGGTGGCCCTGGGCAAGCCACTTCCCCTCTCCCGGCCTCAGTTTTCTTCCCAGTACAATGGGAATCATTACCCAGAATCTGTCTCCCTCACAGCGTGTTGTGAAGATTCAGCCGATACATGCTAAGGTTACCTTGGTCCAGCGGGGCAGGGCCAGACAGGTGGAGACTGAGGGAGGAGCGAATGGCAGAGGGCAGGTCATAGGAAGAGTGCAGCGCGGCTTAGGGAGTATCCGCCGCTATTGGCCAGACTGGCCTCCAGGGTTGGGTCCGTAATGCAGATGAGGGTGAGGGGCACCAACCTCCTTCTGAGGGAAGCCTGGGTGCTCCCTTAGGGCTGGCCCTGCCTCTCCACATCAGCCTGGGAAGGGATCCTAAGGGGCATGAGGTGGGGCTATGGCTGGACTCCCCTTACCAGCTCTGGGGCTTCCTCCGGGGCAGGCTGGACTCTTGCTGCCGCCGCTTGGAGTGAGGCGTGAGGTGGTAGATGAGCTGTCGGCAGATCTTGTCTGAGGACTTCCAGAGCTCACAGTCCTGTGGCAGGCAGTGCTGTCAGGGTGAGGCCAAGCCCCAACCACCACCCTCTGGACCTTGGGGATTTGAGTACGCTGGTTGAGCACAGTCATCATTACAGATCACTGAGCTGCCCACTGGACTCCTGCACCTACTTTCCCACTCCAGCTATGGCCAGGCACAGAGCCAGGGGAGGCTGCGCGCTGGGAACTGGACAGGCTGGTCAGAGGCCCGCACTGCCCGGCGGGAGAAGACAGAGACAATGGGCCCTTGTTCCCTGTCCTCAGGCCTAAGGCCAGCATCTCTGACTATTAGTCAGCTCTCAGCCCACCCTCAGGCTCCCCGGGGACTCGCCACAGGGGGAGGCAGGACCAGTCCCTTCCAGGGGGCCCTGCTCCACTGACGCCACCCTCAGAGAATAGGAACCAGCCAGGTTAGCATGCTCTTCTTCCTCTCACTCTCCATTCTAGACCGTGACTATGGGACCTGGGTCTGGACTGCCAGGGCTGGGAGGGTTAACACGTCACGGCACCACCACCTGGCTCTCTCCTGGTCCTGAGTGAGCCCTTGTAGAGGCCCAGCTTGCGCAGAAAACAGGGGTGCCCTGCTTTCCACAGCTGGCACTGAGCACGCTCCACTGCCCACATGTCCTTTATCCAGTCCCTTTGATAACAGCGTGCACGCACAATGGCAGCAAGCCCCAGCGGTCACTGTGATGGCTCTAGGCTACCTCAGATTCCTCGGTAACAACTGCATATAGATGTGGGAGTTCAGAGCTGGCAGGGCCCGTAGCGAGCACCCTTGTTTCTCATGAGACTCACTGTGACTAAGGGATGGGGGCTGGGGGCTGGCCACAGGCTGTGTCAGGAACACAGCATCTTCACTGCTCGTGGAGGTAGGATGTCTGCAGGTGCCCTCAGAGCAGGGCTCTGGCCAGACACGGTGCATGGGGGGAGCAGGATGGAGGTGCAGGCGGCAGACACCGACTCAGCGTGAGGGGGGACTTGCTTGTGGCTCATGCTGCTATGAGAAGCAATGTGTACTTGTCTCTTAGGGTATCCATACAGGATGGGGACGTGTGGGCAGCAGTTCTGGCCTAGGGCAGCTGTCTTCTGGCCCAGGAACTCAGAGACCGGGAACTCAGAGGCTTGGGTCCATCAATGTATATTGCAGAACATTCTGTGTCCCACAGGGTCCCCATACTACTTCCTGCCTGAGTCCCGGGGCCTGCACAGTGTTGCCAATCAGGAAACGGTCTACTCAGCACACAACTTTCGAGGCTGAGAAAGCACAGCTCACACTTGCCCCAGTTGCTGGCCAGTGTAACACATTGAAACTGGCACCAGAGAGGGGCAGTGACCTCCCTAAGGCCTTGCAGCAAGCCAGATCAGGATCCAGGCCCCTAGCCTCCAGCCCTGGGCTTTCCTGGCCCCTGTAGACCACACTGCCCAGCCTGAGGTCCTTGCCTGCTGGCCTTACCGTCTTGGGGCACTGCAGGTCCCGGGCCAGGTTCATAAGCAGGTCATGAGAGATGGGGTCCACCAGATTGAGGAAAGCCACGTTCCTGTAGAGGATGTCAGTGAGGAGGGTCCCCTCAAGGCCCAGGTCCTGTGGGTGGTGAAGAGAGTTGAGTGAGCCAGGAATTGGGGCCACCCTTCTCCAGGTGCCCTTCCTGCCAACCAGAGCCCTCATGTCTATTCCGCTCTCTCCGTCTGTCTCCCTGAGGCTTGCTAGAGTCTCCCCACAGATGGCGATGGGCCAACTGTCCAGGGCAGGTGGGCCTTTTAGATGAGGAGCGGGTTGGTGCTTCAGGGCCCTCAGGGAGATAGTAAGGGGGTCCCAGAGCTCTTAGACTGGTTTCCTGAAGGTGAAACATCCTGCTGTGACACTTTGCCTTCTCTGGGGTTGGGCTTATCCAGGGGATTCTTTGGGGGCTCCTCTGATGACCCCCCAAACCACTGTCCTCCAGTATTCCCTTTGGGTTCTCTGCCCCTTCCATCTAGTCTCAAGCGCTCCCAAGCTGTGGCTCTCTTTTCGTGGACAGGTCCAGACCTTTCCTGTGGGGGTGGACCTCAGTTCAGACTGGGTGTATTCATCTCCTGTCCTGAAGCTGTCCTCACTTCCTGTGCCCCTGCTCAGTAAAGGGTGTCACCATCCCCATCTTACCCCGCACTCTTCCTCATCCCTCCCCACTTCTCAAGAAGGTTCAGGCTTTGTCTCCCGACAGCCTCCTTCTGGGGCTCCTGGACTCCTGACACCCTTCCCGTCCCACCCATAGGCTGCCAGAGCCATTTCCATGAAACATACCCCTGAGCTTGACATTTAACCCCTTTGGTGGAGACCAAAAGCTCTCAAAGTTGTGTGATATCAGACTCGGGCACAGTCTGCAGTCTCAGAACTCTCCGCAGCTTGGCATTCACATGCTCCCTGGCCCACCAGCCTCGTTGTCTAGCCTCCGAATCCCTCACACCTTGAATAGACCCCATCGTCAGGACCCTGGCCTTCCTGCCTTTAGTCCTTGACCTTCTTCTACTTCCACCAGCCTCGTGTGGTGCTAAACACCCTTTTAGAGGTTCCATTTAGAGGATATACTGATAAGCTGATGGGGCAGGCAGCCAGGAAGGGCCTCCAGAACCCATCTGGGCCTCCCCAAGCCAGAGAGTGACATCTTTGGTGCATAAGCCCCCTGCATACAGGAAGACAGGACAGGAGGGAATGCCCAAGGGCCATAACTGCAGAGTTCCTGTGGGTTATGGGGCACGACAGGCCCCCCCACCCCCACTGGGCCTTGAATTCCAACCTCTGGGACACAAGGGGGCAATCTAACTGGTTTCCCAGCTACAGGGCCCACCAAGCTGGTGCCTGGGGCTCCAGGTGTTGTCCCAGATAGAGATCTGTGCCTCTGGACAGTCTGATTCCATGCTGCTCTGCTCTTTTAAACACCATTCATATTCATGCTGCAGATGCCAGCTAGGGAGGATCCAGAAGGGAGGGGTGGCTGGTGAGCCTGGGATGACCCAGACAGGGCCCCAGACCGCAGCCTGCTTTCTGCTGGTCTGGACAGCTCCTTTTAAAGGGCCAGCCCCGCTTTCCAACCTGCTGGGCCAAGAAGAGTGTAGCAGGAGGAGCAGGGCTGGGAGGCTAAAGGTTGTGCTGTGGCCTTGGCTGGCCCTCAATCTGCCCTAGATTCACCACTTTTTTCCAAGCCTCAGTTTCCCATCTCTAATCATCCACCCGCAAGCCAAGACCTTCATGGCTGATTTCAGCTTATAGGATGGAGCGGGTAGTGGTGGCAGCTGCTGCACAGGGTGCGAATGTGGGCCAAGAGGGAAGTGGCCTGCCTAGTGGTGATGCTGGGACAAGAACCCATGTCTCCTTGGGCAACCCAGGGCTTGGGATCTGGGACTCAGATACCTGGTGTGTGTAGCAGATGTGGTGTGATGTACAGATGCCAGGAGTATGTACTCAGTGGGCATGAGCTGACCTTTAAGAGCGTGGGTGATGCGCGCCATAGCTCTGTCTGGGCTGCCAAGGTGTAATGGTGAGGTTGCACCCGCTGACCAGCTGGGCTGCTGCTTCTCAGGGTCCTCTCTCTAGGGTCCACTGCCTATGCTCACCCTGGAGGAGAGGGGAGCTGCGGGCTTCTCATGGCCCCTCAGTACAAGATGCCCACTTTTGCCACTCCTCCCAGCCCCCCTCCTTTCCTGCCAAGGCATGAATCTGGGCTCTTAGTCCTGGCTGGAGGCATCCTCAACACACACAACCGACCTCAAACCCCAGGGGTGCTGGGCACTTACCTGTCCTCTCCTCTACACTCACGGTGCCCCCGGCCTCAGTGGCTCTCACTTCAGCCGGCTGCCCTCTCTCCCTCGTCCTGTCACCCAGGAAACACTCCCACCCCTTGCAGTATCCTCCCCTCAGAACCCGCCCGGCCCGCGCGCCCATCTGGGGCCGGCCCTGCCTCCCGGCCCCTCCCGGGCCTCCAACCCCTGGCCGGCCCTCTCCTTCTCTCGCCTGGCGCAGGAGGCGCAGCAGCTGCCGGGCGCGTTCAGGCCGCCGCTCGCGGAGCATGGACTGGATCTCACGGAGCCAGCGCACCCGGCGCTCATAGGGCGC